CGGAGCGCAGGCCGCGTCCCCGCGATGCCGCCAGGCCGGCCCGCGCTGCAGACGGCGACGGCGACGATGGGGAGCGCAGGCGGCGACATCGGCATGGGCCCCCCGCCCACGACGACAGGGAACGCAGGCACCGGCGCAGGAAGTGAGTGGGCACCGGGAGGGATCTGGGTGTCCAGGTGGCCCTTCAACTCACTCCGGGCCGAGGAGCTTCCCCAGTAGCCAGGGTGACAGTCACCAGGCCCAGCATACGGGAAGACATGGGGATGTATCCAGTGGCCACAGCCCGGGTTAGCAGACGGGGAAACAGATGCAGCTCAGTGCTGGGATGGACCCAGGGCCTCATATTCTATACAAGAGTCTACAGCAGAGCTCCGCCCCTCACTGTGGGATTCTAGGTTGGCACTCCACAGCAGAGCCAGCCTGTCACAGAGGAATTCTAGACTAGCACTCTATCAGAGCCACACCCCAGCTCCTCACTGGGGGACTCTAGGCCGGCCCTCTACCGCTGAGCCACGCCCTCAGCCCTTTACTGCAGGATTCTAGGCAGGGACTCTAACCACTTAACTACATCTCAACGTTATATACAAAAAGTCTAGGGCCCTGCCGTCTGGCTTCCAAAGTGGCTAGAGAACTAACGCATTGTGCGTCTGACGCGGGCCCCAGGGAGAGCCCACAGTCTCCCCCAGATTGGTAAAGCTTTTTCATGGCTTGCTGGGTACTCTTGTACTAGTGTGCTCCTGACATCAGTGTTCTCACCTGTAGATCAGACGCCCCAGAAATGACTGACATTGCTAAAGTTAACTAAGTCACCTCTGCCAAAGGCTCACATGGGCACTAGTGCGTGTGGCCCACTCAGGACTCGGCACCTACAACTGTCATGTTGCCAGTCTGTGTTTACTGGGGGGGGGGGGGTGCGTCTGATCTCTAAGACATAAAGGGAGGCATCTTCTGTGACAGGACCCCACCAGACCCTGAATTGACTCTCTGTAGGGAGTCCAGGGCTTCCGTGTTGATGGAGACATCCTGCTACAAAACACTGTCCCTAAGCCAAGTACGGTGTCGCTCCTGTGATCCCAGTACTTGGGAGGTAGAACAGGAAGGTCTGGACTTCAAGGCCAGCCTTGGCTACATTGTGAGTTGAGACCACCCTGGGCTACATGAGAACCTACCTCAATAATATTAGTAATAATAGTAATATCTTCTTGATACCCTTTCATATTGCTATGCGCGCATCACACTGGTTTCTTGAAGGATGTACAAGATCTGACCCAGGCCAGTGGGAAAGGGGCATCTGTACAACCTACGAGAGTCAGCTTTCTCCTGCTGCTGTGGGTCCAGAGGTGTCAGGTGTCTTACCAGCCTGTGTGACACAGACTGTGACTTATGCTTCAAGGAAGTCGTGAGACTCCGTGTTCCTAACAAGAGGAGGCCAGTGCAGGTCCCAGGACCACGTGCTGAGGAGTGGGGTTCTCAACTGAATGCGGGTCTGTAGACGGGGTCACAAGTTCAGGCCAGCCTGGGATTCACAGGGGAATCCTGTCTCAGAGAGAGAGAGAGAGAGAGGTGAGGGGTTGGGGTGAGGAGGGAGAGGAGAGCTGAGTCTTCCTGGAGGTCCAGTCCTGGTCGTGGAGACTGACTAGCTTCCCGCTTCCCACGGCACCCCTTGGTTATTACATGCCTGTCCCCAGGTTCTCCGCTAACACTGTTGTTCCCATTCCTCCTTCCCCCGAGTTGTGTCTCCTGCTCAGTGAAGGTGTGAGAAGGGTCAGCTGTATTTGTGACTCCCACCCAGTAACTGCAGGCAGTGGGGGCCTGCAGAGATGGCTTCATCTGTTTCCTTTGCTATAACCAACTGCCTGAGGTTAGGTTACTTATTTATAAAGAGTGGGACTTTATCCAACTTCTTGTTCTGGAGGCTGCAGAGTCACAGAGCGCAATGCCAGCCCCTCTGAGGGCTTCTTGCTGCATCCAGACATGATAAGGGACTCCCATGGTGATCCAGAGCTGTGTCCCAGTCCCTTCCTCTTAGAATGCCACTGATGCCATCCTGGGACCCTGCCCTTGAGACCTTGTCTAGCTCCAGTTACCTCCCAAATCTCCTCCAGATACCATCATCAGACAAATTTATGTTTCCCAGTCCATGAGTTTGGGTGGGTGGGACAAACATATTAAAACCGTAGCAGAGATGCTCTGAGAAATGTCACCAAGATGGGTCAGACCATAAGAAGAGCAGTTAGAGAAAAAGTGGTGAGTTTCAGGCAGGAACAGTACATGTCAAGGTCCTGGGGTCAATGGAAGACAGCTAACTTACGGGACAGTGGGGGGCCAGGGGCCAGAGATGGGTTACTAGGACTCTGGTCCCCTCAGAGGGTGTGGGGGAGCATTGGCCTTGTACTGTGTCTGCAGCTGCTGTACTGAAGGAGGCAGAGTGGTGAGGAACAGAATGGCTGTCCCCAGTGCTCCAGGAGTAGGGTTTCTGTTGCTCTGAGATAGAACCTCATGTGGCCCAAGCTGACCTTGAACTCGTGGTGTAGCCAGGGCCAGCCTATAACTCCTGGTCCTCCTGCTTCTACCTCCCAAGTGCCGGGATTACAGGCATGCACCACCACATCAAGTTTGATTTGGTGCTGGGGATGGAATCCAGGGCTTTGCTCATGCTAAGCAAGCACCCTCTCAGCTGAGCCACACCCCTCCCTGCAGGAGGAGTGTTTGAGAAAGTTTCTACATGATGAATATCAGTCACATCATGAGCAGAACCTGGTGCTGAAATGCAGGCTCTGAATACTCCTGCCCATCACTGCCTGGCTGTGTGACTTTCAGAATGTCACCGCACCTCTCTGGTCCCCATTTCCTCATCTACAAATGGGGTGGACAGTAGAGTAAAATGTACAGGTGTAAATGAAAAGAGACATAAACTGTGTTGAGTGACGCTGAGCCAACAGCAACTTCTGAGTAAGTGTCAGCATGGGTGGAATTAGCAGTTCTGAGTGTAGCCGTCCTTGGATGTCTTTAGGGGTCCTCCTGAGGCCCTCCGGGATACTAAAATCCACACGTTTGGGCTCCATCTATAAAACAGTGTAGTGTCAGCATGGAACCCACGCTCATCTTCCGGGGACTTCTGATCATCTCCAGGTGACTTAGAATACCTGATGCAATACACGCACTCTCTGGCAGCTATTAGACTCTATTTCTTTCTTTCTTTTTTTTAAAGATTTATTTATTTATTATGTATACAGCATGTATGACTGCAGGCCAGAAGAGGGCACCAGATCTCATTACAGATGGTTGTGAGCCACCATGTGGTTGCTGGGAATTGAACTCAGGACCTCTGGAATAGTAGTCAGTGCTCTTAACCTCTGAGCCATCTCTCCAGCCCTAGACTCTATTTCTTTTAAACAAATATTTAGAAAGCAGTTTGACAATGTGGTCACTTAGCAAAATCACAACAGTAGGTTCCCCTCTGGAGCCTCTGACCTCTGCACTCATCGGGTTCACAGTACCAGGCATGAATTCTCTGCTATGGAGCAGCCCTCAAATTCAACCAGTAAGTGGTTGGTTACCCCAGAACAATGTTGTTGGAGCTTTTTACTCTTTTGGAGGCCCGCCACCCAGCTCCCAAATAAATCGCACATGGAGGCGTATTCTTACTTATGAATGCCTGGCCTTAGCTTGGCTTGTTTCTAGCCAGCTTTCCTTAACTTAAATTACCCTGTCTATCTTTCGGGCTTTTCCCGTTCTCTTACTTCTGTACATCTCACTCTTACTCCGTGGCTTGCTATGTGTAGCTGGGTGGCTGGCCCCTGCCTCTGCCTCCTGAGTGCTGGGATTAACAGCATGCACCACCACCACCCAGCTATATACTCTGTATTCTTTAGGAAATAGATGAGGGGAAAGTCTGTATATTTAAGATAAACACAGTTTTTTAAAATATTTTCAGTCTTGGGTCTGGAGAGAGAGCTCACACTTAAGAGCACTTTCTGCTTACGTAGAAGACTCAGGTTCAGTTCCACCACCCCATATGGCGGTTCACAGCCTTCTGTAACTCCAGTTCCAGGGAATCCAATGCCCTCTTATGGTCTCCAGGGGCACCAGGCACCCATGTGGTGCACAGACATACATGCAGGCACTAACAGATATACATAAAAATAAATATTTTTAGATATTTTTCAGTCTATAGTCAGTTCAGTCCACGAACACAGAATCTGTAGTATGATAATGTGAATTATAGTAAGACTATATCAACTCGTCAGACATGGTGGCACAATCTTAGCACTCAGGAGGCAGAGGCAGGTAGAACTCTCTGTGAGTTCAAAACCAGTCAGGTCTATGTAGGAAGTTCCAGGCCAGCCAGGGATACATAGAGAGACCAGATAAACAACAGAAGGCTCTATCAGGTGTTTTAGCATCATGTGAGCACTCAGGAAGTGTGCACACCATATTAGTAATGCTGAGGCTCTCTCCTGATAGACATCAAAACCTTAGAACTGGGTGTGGTGGTACATGCCTATAAATCTGCACCCAGGAGGCTGAGGCAGGAGGATTGCCATGAGTTTGGAGCTAGCCTGGACTTCAGAGTGAAACTGTTTAAAAGACATTTCCATTCTCAGCCAGGCATGGTGGCCCATGTCTTTAATCCCACCCAGCACACGAGAGACAGAGGCAGGTGGATCTCTAAGTTCAAGGCCAGCCTGGTCTACAGAGCAAGTTCCAGGACAGCCAGGGCTACACAGAGAAACCCTGTCTCAGGGAAGAAAAGAAATGAGACATTTGATTCTGTTTCCCATGAGCTGCATTTCCTTTTCCTTCCCAGAGCTTATCCTCTGGCCGTGTGTTTCACTGACAGTGTCATTTTTCTGTTGTTTACCCGACTCCCATTTCTACACCATTCTCTTCCCCTCTGAAACACGCACCAGCACACTACTGCATCGTTCAGTGGTTGCTAGGCTCAGGTTCCCACGGCAAGTGGGGACATCTGAACCTGGTGGTACCCCGAGGTGGCCAAAGTGAGGCACAAGCTCTGGACTCCTGGTAAAGACCTGTGAGCTACCAAACCTCTGCCACTCCTAGGACTTGTCTCCTAACCGGTCAGGATCAGCTGTTTGCAGCCTAGTTCCAGCTGCATCTGTCACCATGGTAATCCATTCCCCATTGGTGCAAGGAGAGGGTTGCTGCAGTCCTGGGTTTCCTGGCTCTCTCTGCCTGTGTAGCAGAGAATCCTGATGCTTTAACACACACTCAACACCTCCACTCCATGCACCCCAAATTGTTCACTGCCAGTTTTCTCTGCTGAGTGACACTAGAGCTAAAGGTTTCTAGATAGGACCAGATTCCAGCTCAGCCCCATCCAAGCTGGTCGGTTCACGAGGGACAAATGTCTTCCCCTCTCTGCCTCAGCTTCCTGCTCTGTTAAATGGAGATGATCTTGTTATTCATCTCAGGTGCTGTATTAATGCATGAAGTCTTGGGGGGAGGTCAGAAAGTGTGTCAGAATGTGTTCAGTGAAAGGGGGTCAGGAGGTGTGCAGTGAAGGGGGTCAGGAAGTGTACAGTGAAGGGGGTCAGAATGTGTTCAGTGAAAGGAGGTCAGGAAGTGTGCAGTGAAGGGGGTCAGAAAGTGTGCAGTAAAGAGGGTCAGGAAGTGTGCAGTGAAGGGGATCAAGAAGTGTGCAGTGAATGGGGTCAGGAAGTATGCGGTGAAGGAGGTCAGGAAGTGTGCAGTGAAGGAGGTCAGGAAGTGTGCAGTGAAGGAGGTCAGGAGGTGTGCAGTGAAGGGGATCAGGAAGTGTGCAGTGAAGGGGGTCAGAATGTGTGCAGTGAAGGGGGTCAGGAAGTGTGCAGTGAAGGGGGTCAGGAAGTGTGCAGTGAAGGGGGGTCAGGAAGTGTGCAGTGAAGGAGGTCAGGAAGTGTGCAGTGAAGGAGGTCAGGAAGTATGCAGTGAAGGGGGTCAGGAAGTGTGCAGTGAAGGAGGTCAGAATGTGTACAGTGAAGGAGGTCAAGAAGTATGCAGTGAAGGAGGGGTCAGGAAGTGTGCAGTGAAGGGGGTCAGAATGTGTACAGTGAAGGGGATCAGGAAGTGTGCAGTGAAGAGGTCAGGAAGTGTGCAGTGAAGGGGGATCAGGAAGTGTGCAGTGAAGGAGGTCAGGAAGTGTGCAGTGAAGGAGGTCAGGAAGTGTGCAGTGAAGGAGGTCAGAATGTGTACAGTGAAGGAGGTCAAGAAGTGTGCAGTGAAGGAGGGGTCAGGAAGTGTGCAGTGAAGGGGGTCAGGAAGTGTGCAGTGAAGGGGGTCAGAATGTGTACAGTGAAGGGGATCAGGAAGTGTGCGGTGAAGGGGGTTAGGAAGTGTGCAGTGAAGGGGGTCAGGAAGTGTGCAATGAAGGGGGGTCAGGAAGTGTGCAGTGAAGGAAGTCAGGAAGAGTGCAGTGAAGGAGGTCAGGAAGTATGCAGTGAAGGTAGTCAGGAAGTGTGCAGTGAAGGGGGTCAGGAAGTGTGCAGTGAAGGAGGTCAGGAAGTGTGCAGTGAAGGGGATCAGGAAGTGTGCAGTGAAGGGGGGTCAGGAAGTGTGCAGTGAAGAGGGGTCAGGAAGTGTGCAGTGAAGGAGGTCAGGAAGTGTGCAGTGAAGGGGGTCAGGAAGTGTGCAGTGACGGTGGTCAAGAAGTGTACAGTGAAGGAGGTCAGGAAGTATGCGGTGAAGGGGGTCAGAATGTGTACAGTGGAAGGGGGTCAGGAAGTGTGCAGTGAAGGAGGGGTCAGGAAGTGTGCAGTAAAGGGGGTCAGGAAGTGTGCAGTGAAGGTCAGGAAGTGTGCAGTGAAGGGGGTCAGGAAGTATGCAGTGAAGGAGATCAGGAAGTGTGCAGTGAAGGGGGTCAGGAAGTGTGCGGTGAAGGGGGTCAGGAAGTGTGCAGTGAAGGAGGTCAAGAAGTGTGCAGTGAAGGTCAGGAAGTATGCGGTGAAGGGGGTCAGGAAGTGTGCAGTGACGGTGGTCAAGAAGTGTACAGTGAAGGAGGTCAGGAAGTGTGCAGTGAAGGGGGTCAGAATGTGTACAGTGAAGGGGGTCAGGAAGTGTTGCAGTGAAGGAGGGGTCAGGAAGTGTGTGAAGGAGATCAGGAAGTGTGCAGTGAAGGGGGTCAGGAGGTTTGCAGTGAAGGAGGTCAGGAAGTGTACAGTGAAGGGGGTCAGGAAGTGT